CAGCTCCGGGTAGACCTCAGGTAGGCCTGATGGGAGCATTTCTCTGGAGATGCAGTGACCCTTTGAAAACACTCCTAGTTCAGAGCCCATTGCTGGGGCCATCCGCTCAGTTCAGATAAGAAATAGGAAGGGGGGACTCAAAGCAGCAGAAAAGAACTAATATGCATCTATGCATAACCCAGGGATACAGACAACAGAGTGGTGGAGGCCTGGGAGGGACAGGAATAGAGTGAAGGGGATCAAAAGAAAACACACACACACACACACACACACACACACACACACACAGACGAAGGGGACATCTCTAATATTCCAACAATAAAGATAAATTTTTTAAAAATGTAAACGGTGAAACAAGGTAGACTGACTAGTAATCAGTGGTTTGCAGAGTTAACATATTGGTGGGGCTGGGACCTTCTGCCATGCCTCAGTCTACTAGATACCTGAAGTCTACACCTAACGGGCCCGCAGGCTGGAGAGAAACTTTTGCTTCATCCCTCTGGGCCTCAGGGATCTGATCTGCCTCCATACAGTGACTCAGCATCTTAACCCGGTCACCAGGGCATGGGTTCAGAGACTGTAAGTAAGTGCCTACTGGCTGTTTACTCACTTGGCCTGGAAGTGACATCTTCTTTCCCCTTGGTTCTATGGTCAGTTTTATTCACATGACCCTGCCCACCTGTAAGGGGGCTGGGCAGTGGGAGGGAAGACATGGATATGTCAGTGAGCATCAACTGTCTCAGCCACATCCATTCTTTACACAAAACTCCCCGAGTCATTCTCCTGCAGAACTGAGGAACAGCTTTCACACAGTTGACAGATGAGAATGAGAGGATAGATTTTACAGATGATGGGCTCTTTTCCTAGGAATGATTTTAAAATGAAAAAAAAAAATATATATATATATATAGTTATTCTTCCTTCTCTTTAGGTCAGTGGAATTCATTATGGACTTTGGGGTATGTTCATAGTTCTTCCATCTTTTTTATAGCCCAAGGAAGCGTCACCTCATACTGTAGGTGGCAAAGTCTGTTTTTCCACTCTGGTAGAAACAGAAGAAAGAAAAGTTTAGATTGTAGAATGAGTAAGTTGGTTTTAATATCTCTAAAAATTTAATCTCTAGAATTACCAGCCTTTTGAATGTATGCCTTTACAAACTTTTGTCCATGGGCTCCTGTTATAATAAATATAATTAATTGAGTCCAAAATGTTAGAAAAACATTTGCTTTTTTTTAGATTTATTTTTCATTACAGGATAGCAAGCATCAACTTTTCCCTTTGTGTTTCTTCTACAGTGGAGCTTTTATTAAGTGTCGTACCTTCTATTTTATTTCTAATTCAGCTGTAGGGTTCTATTGCCTGCTAAGTGTGACCTGATTTTGTCCTGGCTTGCTCAGGCACATGCTCCAATAAACAACATTAGTAAAATTAGCATTGCACCCATGAAAGAAGCATGTTGAAATATGATAATTTATTCCACTTGCTAATAAAAGTTTATTCCTGGGTAGCATTTTCCAGATTGACATTGATTTTATTTTTACTCCTTCACTTCCCAGTGATGATTCGTTCACTCTATCATAAATCATCTGATTATAATTCAGTGGCATGAACCCCTCACTTTGTTTTTGCATTTATAGGTGATAGTACTTGAAATGTTGATAGCTTCATTACAGAGTCCAAGGGCATTATTACTTAAAATTGGAAAACACTATGCTTAGCTGGAGCTTGTGATAGAGCACCAATTTGGGGGAAATGCAGTAATGCAAGCTTGATCACAGGCACAGCCACTAATAGGGAGATGGGAGGAAAATTCTGCCCTGCAGGCGCTCATCATCATGAGGACAGAGTTTCCTGTTAGGAGGAAGACTGTGTGCAGGGAACCAGAACACTCCAAGGCGTGAAAGGCTAAGCCCACTCTCTCCTGTCACCCTTTTTATACTGAACCAGGGGTTTTAGGAATCTTCCTTTTGACATTCCTTTCAGAAATTTTTTGAAGAGTGCTGAAAGACAGCCAGAATCCCGGCCCCCTGGGGAACAGGAGGAAACTCAATTACAAGCTGGTGGTAGGGGATGTAGAATCCCATGGAGTCCAAGGCAGAGGCACCAATTTCTAACTTGCTGAGAGCAGACTTTCATACTGGAGGAACCAGGACTAAGCTGAGCGCTGAAGAACGAGAAGCAGGCAGATGGAACTGAATAGACAGGAGGCTGACTGTCTGACGTGCATGAAACAGCAAGTGCAAAGGTTTTGATGCAAGGGAGAAATATGGTGAATGAACGGAAAGATCACTTTGGTTGGATTCCATGCCATTCATTGCCATATGCCCATAAAGCAGTGGTTTCCATTGATGTGGCTTGCACGTTCCTGTCTGGATATGTCTGAGACACAATTAGCTGAAGATAGATAGAAGGCGGCAGACCTGAGACTTGGTCTACCATAAAGGTCATGGAGCTTGACTAGGACCTTGACTGCAACGACTTTCCCAGAGGCATCATCTTACCTGGAAGGAGGCTGCCAGCTGAACAGAATTCACACAGGCTACAAAGTCAGAGGAAAGACTTGGATGGCACCTGCAGCCTGAGAGACAAATTCACCCAGTGTTAGAAACGGCACAGCACAGTTTTGGCATCAAGTGAAGCGGATGTGAAAACTAAACCCCACAGACTAACTGATTTGATTTGCATAATAAAGAGCAGGTGAAGGAGAAGGGAAAGTGGGGCAGAATAAGGTCTGTACACTTGGTGTGTTTGGGGTGGAAGTTGAGAGAAGGAGAGAGTTTGAGGGAAAGCTGGCATCATGTGCAGAATGGTGGGAGGGGCAGGAACGTTTGCTGTGCATTAAAATTCAACTGGACCAGTGTGGCTCGGTTGGAGTATCGTCTTATACACTGAAAGGTTGCAGATTCAATCCCCACTTAGGGCACGAGCCCAGGTTGCAGGTTTGATCCCTGGTCAGGGTGCATATTGGAGACAACCAATCAAAGCTTCTCTCACATCGATGTTTCTCTCTCCCTCTCTCTCTCTCTCTCTCTCTCTCTCTCTCTCTCTCTCTTTCTCTCTCTCTTCCTTTCCCCTCTCTCTCTAAAAAAAAATCATCTCCTCCTTTAGCATTTCCTTGGAGACAGTACAGATTCGAAATACATAGTACATATAGATTTATAATATTTTTGGTTCCCTAATGGTGTTTCTTTGAATACACTACTTAGCTGAGATGAGGCCAATTGGAGTGATAGGTGTTGGGGGGGGTAGTAGAAACTTTCCGTTGAGATGCTAGGTCTAAGTAGAATGTAAACAACTTTATTTTTTTAAAATTTATTTTTATTGTTGAAAGTATTACAGACGTTCCTTTTATCCCCACATTGACCCCTTAGTCCTGCTCCTGCCTTCTTCCCCTACCCCAGAGGCCTTCACCACACTATTGTCTGTGTCCATGAATTATGAATATATGCATATAAATTTTTTGGTTAATCTCTTCCTGCCCCCTGCTTCCTTCTGAGATTCAGTCTGCTCCATGCTTCCACATCTCTGGATCTGTTGTGGTTGCCAGTTTATTTTGTTCATTAGATTCCACATATAAGTGAGATCATGTGATACTTACCTTTCTCTGACTGGCTTATTTCACTTAGCATAATACTCTATGGACCCCTTTATGCTGACTCAAAAGATAAAGAGATCTTTCCTTTTTAGAGTTGCATAGTATTCCACTATGTTTTTTAATCCACTCATTTACTGATGGGCACTTGGGCTGTTTGCTCATCTTAGCTATTGCAAATAATGCTACTAGGGGTACAAATAATTTTTCTGATTGGTGTTTCGGGTTTCTTAGGATATATTCTTAGAAGTGGGATCACTGGGTTAAATGGCAGTTCCATTTTTTAATTTTTGAGGAAACTCCATACTGTTTTCCACAGTGGCTACGCCAGTCTGCATTCCAACCAGCAGTGCACAAGGGTTCCCTTTTCTCCACATTCTTGCCAGCACATGTGGTCTGTTGATTTACTGATGGTAGTCATTCTGGCAGGTGTGAGGTGCTAACTCATTGATGTTCCTAGCTCTCTCTCACTCTCCATTCCTCCCTCTGAAATCAATAAAAACATATTTAAAAATTAAGACATAAAATTTTATCATTTTAATGTACAGTTCAATAGTGTTAAGTACATTCGCATTGTTGTGTACTCAATTTTCAGAATATTTATCTTGAAAAAAATTCTATACCCATTACACAATTCCCCATTCAGCTCTCCCTCCAGCACTGGACAACCACCATGCAACCTCTCCTATGAATTTTGCCTCATATAAATGGAATTATGCAGTATTTGTCTTCTTGTGACTGGCTTAATTCATGTATCTTCATATTCTCAAGGTTCATCCATTGTATGTATATATCACATTTTACTTATCTATTCACCCACTGATGGCTATTAAGTTTGCTTCCATCTTTTTAGCTAAGTGTGAATGATGCTGATATGAACATGGTGTACAGATATCTTTTTGAGGCTGTGCTTTCCATTATTTGGGTATAGATCCAGAAGTAGAATTGCTGGGTCATATGGTGATTCTATTTAAAGATGTTTAGGAACGCCGTGTTTTCCAGAGGCTGGGCCATGATATATTCCCACCAAAGTGCGCGAGGGTTCCCATTTTGTTCACATCCTCGCCCACACTTGCTATTTCTAGCTTTTTTTATTTTATTTTATTATTATTATTTTTTTAACTAGTCATCATCCTAATAGGTGTAATGGATGGAGACACTTTGGTTCTTACAACTCAGGGGGAGGCGTGCTACTGCTGTCTGTGGGTGGAGGTCAGAGACGTTATTCAACTCCCACAAAGCACAGAGTCCTCCGCCAGAGAACTGGTCCCAAAGAGTCCTCCGCCACAGAGAACTGGCCCCAAAGCGGAAAAGGCTGCAGTTGGGACATTCAGATGAACACAGGCAGGCTCATCTTTCATAGTGAGTCTCACCCAGGACACGGGCAGTTTCTCTCTTTTCTGTTGAGATGCTCAAAGGCAACGCATTTCAAAAATCTGGAAAGCGAGGGAGAAATGGCAACACTTTTACTCAAATTTTATTGGAAGTTTACAAATGTATTACAGACATCAGTAAAACAGCATATCCATTGTACAGGATCTCAAGCAATGTGTTCACTACAGTCTCTGGCAGAGCCTGCACCAAAGGCCGCTGCAGACCTTCTGAACAAACAGCGCGACGCTCACACACAGCACACCGGCCCGCCCACCCCCTCAGCCCTCCGAGGCCTTGCTTGCACTTGGAATCAAAGCAGGAGATGGGCAAAGCAGTCCCGGGGGGGAAGAATGCGTTTAGGAGAAGGAAAACGCCCAAGTCCTGATTTGCTAAGGAGAATGGAGGACTTGTAGGCCACAGAGTGTTAAGCCAGGGTCCATGAATAGAACCAAAATGCTTCATGGGAAAATACGGAAATCATCAGAAAGGCTTGAGAACAGACCTTACTGGTGAGTTAACTCTTTCCGAAAAATGTATTAAAGCTTGCTCCGTGACTTCTTGGACATCAATGGCTAAATCCCTAGGAGGGTGAAGGGATGTCTCAGAAAACTCTCAGGATAGACAATTTTTTTCCTTTCCTATGGGTTCATCATATCGGAGTCACAGAAATGTTTTCCTGGCACTACGGAAGCTTCTCCCTCCTTCGTATTCCCCTGGAGGAAAGCTAGCTTTGTCAGCAGGAAGTCAGTCTATAAAACAGTGAGTCATGTTTTATGAGTCTTGTGTTGACTGGGCGACTATTACGAGTAAATGGAAAAAGAATCAAATCCTTTCTTGGTCCTAACCATGGTGACTACTTCCAAGCGGTCAGACAATCAAGGGTTCATATCTGCCGGGTCCCAGAGGGACCAACCGCTGGAAGCAAGGCAAAGCTCTCTTCCTTTCTGCTTCTAGCGCTTAGAGAGGTACATGAACCTCAAAGGGGGCATGGGACTGCCTTCCGCATCGGCAGAGGCGGCTCGGCTGAGCTACACCTGGATGCCAAGCTTCTGTGAGGCGCCGGCTGCGTGTGGGTGGGAAGAAGACCTGCTGTCCAGAGCCCTTCCGAAGCCCTGAGGTGTGAACAGTTGCTAACAGCAACTATTCTGACATGAAATTTTCAGCTAGCTGGTTCCACCTTCCACTTCCCTTGTCATAGATTCTCCTTCTTAGGTGTTAGCATCTGGTTTCTGTTAGAAATACACGAAGAGCACTTCCCCTTGGAATTTAAATATTTGTGTTATTTCTTGTTAGAAGGTGGATTAGATGAAGACAAGGATGAACACTTATCTGATCCCCGCAAGAGGACAAACAGGGGCTGACTATAATACTTGTCCAAGGACACGAGAAGGGAAAAGAAAGAGATTTGTCTTCGTTTCGCCTACAGAGGTCAGCTCCTGTCAGCATCCACAATCTGGACTCACAGTTATTTAGGAATGATGCCTCCTAAGTGGCTGTTTTTGCCCAACGGCAAAGAAGCCCAGAGTAAAAAGACTTAAATAAGAGTCAGTTCATAAATAAGTTTTGTGATTAGACAAATAAGATCAATTCTGACCAACAGGTTCTGGCTGGTGGAGTGTCACCAGTACATCCATGTCCTCTAGAACGTACACAGTGATGCACTGGTTATACCTGCCCAGGTGGCAGAGCATTTGCTAAGTATATGCCATCACTGGCCCCACCTGACCTCCACCACTGGCCCCACCTGACCTCCACCATGGCTAGTGGGACCAGGAAGCAGGAAGCTGCTGCAGGAGAAGGAAACGGAGTCTTGATGCAGTGAGGGAGTGTCCTACAGAACGAAGAATCAGAAAGAGCTGCCGCAGGTCCCATAGTAGATATACAAAACTGCTGGGCCACTGAGCTGACTGAGGGTGGAAGGGAAGGCCTGGAGAACACAAGATGAAGATGGAGAGAAGCTGTTGAACTAACAGCACTAGGGATTCTCCTCCTCTGAACATGTGCCAAACCAGGAAGCACAGTTCTGGTTTCCCTCAGCTCATTCACTTTCACACTTGGTAGAGATCCCAGAACTACACAGCGGGAGGGGTACCTGAATGCCACGCTCAGTGCCACCAGCCTGCTAAGAAACCTGTCCACAGCATCACAGGTGGGGCACTGGCAGGCCATCCAGGACACTGTCAATGACTTCCACTTCTTGGGAGAGAGCCAGTTCTGAGGCCACTGAACTGAGCAGCAAGTGGGACATGAACTGTACCTTAATGCTGTGGTGTTAACCTAAAGACAGGAAGAAGACTCATATGAGGAGAGGTAGAAAAACAAACAAAACCCTAAGGCAGTGGTCGGCAAACTCAGTCAACAGAGCCAGATATCAACAGTTTAACAATTAGAATTTCTTTTGAGAGCCAAGTTTTTTAAACTTAAACTTCTTCTACCACCACTTCTTCAAAATAGACTGGCCCAGGCCATAGTATTTTGTGGAAGAGCCACCCTCAAGAGGCCAAAGAGCCTCATGTGGCTCAGGAGCCGCAGTTTGCCGACCATAGCCCTAAGGCATGAGAGAGGAGAGGAAACTGGGAAAAGATTACTTTCATAGAAACAGTCTATTGAAGATGAAATGATGATCTAAGAAGAGGGGAGTTCAGGCCTCCCTCACAGGGCAACTTGACCAAGAAGAGCTAGTAATTATGATGGAGGAATCAGCTGCTAAGGACCCTAAACTCTTGCCTCAAAAAAGAACGCACAGAATTTTGGGGAGTGGGATTCTGGGATGTTGCATGTAAGTTGTCACCAACAGGTGGAACTCCTAATGCAAGGACACCCTGCTCTCTCTGGGCCTTCACCTGAGGGCCTCTGTCACCGTGGGGATTCAGCCCTCCTCCTTGGCTTTCTCTGTAAGGTGTCCACTGCATGTGTGTGGAACCAATGGAGGGGACCACACCTGCAGACAGTTTGATCCTGATGTAGGGGACCTCACCTGCAGACAGTCTGACCCCGAGGCTTCTATCTACGACACACCAAGCTCTGACCAGTTAGGGCGACTAGATGGCAAATTGCACATTCCCTCAATTCCTTTGAACACTAGTTATGTGTCAGTTTCTAGGCCACCTTCTTCTTTCTGCTGGTGGGGTGAAGCCTCACCTGGGAAGTGCAAGAGGTACTCTGAGAAGGACGGAGGTAGAAGGCAACCTTTACCAGGAGAATTCCCTTCACTGGGTCCCGGGCCACAAAGCCATCTCCTTTTTCTCTTTTTCCAAAACCCTTTTTATTCTCATCAATCAAGGAACTCAAAAATCCAAATTGGACTTGCCCAATTTCTACCAGAAACCTGCCACGTTAGTCATGTGATGTTGCACATTATTTCTTAAAATCAGTTTGCCAAGCAGTTTACAGACTTACTATACAGACGTAATAAGAGTAATTCTCCGGAGGCTCGGATACTTAAGGAAGCATTTAGATATGAAGATAGCATGCGGAAAACAGCCACAACCAACACTTGTATTGCTTTTTAAAAAAAATCAGTGACAATGACAAATGTCATAGTAATACCTGAAAAGCAAATTACTTTAATACATCCTGAATGGAGCGCCATTTGGACAGCCCGTACAGCCTTCCTTTCCCCAGACCCATCTGGCGTGGGGTCTGAAAAGCCACATTTCACATTCTCTCCATAAAAAATACTAGAAAATAGTAACTACTGCATTGAAAAGAGACCACGCGCACCTCACCACGGCAGAGGCCACTGAGATAGACCGGGTAGCACATGGACAGAACGTCTCACTAAAGGTGGGTCTTGCGATGGGTTAGTACCACCGCCACAATCCGTTAAGGGGAGGAGGAGAATGGGGGGGAAAGCAAGCGCTTCATTTTGAACTGAAGCAAGGTAGGGAGCTTTATTTTACTATAAACAACACAACCGTTAAATGTCTTCTTGAAGCAAATTCACTTTTGAGCCCATTTTTCAGTCTGACCAACGGTCCCCTTACGTTCACAATGGAAATCCTCCTTTCAACCACGTCTGCTTTTCAAGGCATTTCTGCTGACGCCTCCTCACCTGACCCAGACACTCTGGGCAGGGAGGGTGTTAGGGGAATGATTTCCTCAGGCACTGGGGGCCCGTCAAGCTGGCTCTCCCCGTTCCTCTACTTCATTTCCAGAAGCTCTTCTTGGCCTTGGCCCTTCCTTCCTATCCCCCGTCAGTTCTACCCTCGCCCTGCTCTCTGACCACCTCATGCCTTCTCCACGCATGACGCACCATCTAGGACACGCTGTCTCTCCCAGAGCCCTGTCAGAACCCATCTGCCCCTAAGTCCTAAGGCCCAAGTTCATTTGCAATGAGGACAACTGGTTGTTAGGCTAAGGCAGCTGCCTTGGCTAAGGAAAGCGGATAGTACAATCCGGGAAACATGAGCACCAGAAAATAATGCCACATTCAGAACAACATCATGCTGACGGCACACAACGGCACCACTCACAGTCACTGTATTTCCCCAAGAAAGAGATCAATCGTGAGCAGCTCAAGGTTCCCGGCAGGGATGGCGTGTCTTGAGGAACTTGACTGACACTGATTGGTTTCTCTAACGGGCAAAGGTTATGTTCGCTATTTAAAAAATGACTACCACTTCGTAGAGAATACATTCTACCGAGGGTGGGAGTGGACTTAAGGATGGCTCCTTAAGACGGACTAGAGCGTAAAATGCTTTGGATAGAATAATTGTGTTGTGTTTTTTTTTTCCGCCACAAAAAGCCAAATGGAATAAACTCCTTTGAAAAAAGTCTCACTGACATGTAACAAGTTTGTAATAGAAAAAAGGAAAAAAAGATGGTGGTCCTGGCCACTCGGAATACTACACAAAGACGATGCGGATGGCATGCGGGTTTCACTGAGTCTAACCATATAGAAATTCCTTTGATATTACAAAATACAAAAATATTTTATCAGAACTCTCATTTACATCGCATTTACAATGGACATGTAAATAACTTAGTCTTGGGGTCCTGGCTAAATAAACAAATTACTTACTGGGGGGGAAAAAGGGTCCTAAAAGGAAGAGAACCAGGGAGGAGGAATTACAAGCGAGCAGGAAGCAATCTGCCATCTCAGGAGTGGCAACTGCACACACCGAGGCGACCGACCGGACTAGATTCCGCCGCGCAGTCCATCGCGTTTCCAAAGTGAAATGTGCAAATCATAATAGTCCACATGCCGAGAACTGTGACTACCGACCGAGTCCACCTGTGACCTTGCCTTCCTCCGCGGAGAGCACGCCCCTTCTTCTCCCCCCAGCAACCACCCAAAAAGCTCTTTCCAAGAAAGAAAAAAACAAAACAGTGCAAGTTTCTGAATTTACATTCTTAGCTCCCATCTTCCCCGCCCCGATCAGATTAGGAAATGATACAGTTCTTGCTCTTCTGCCGCTTCCTGCTGTGCAGCTGCCCCCGGCCGCCCAGCGTGGACGCCTTGGGGAGGCCGTAGGAGCTGTACTTGTGCAGCAGCTCGTCGCTGGTCACGTAGCGCAGGCGGGCGGGCTGCGGGATGGGCTCCCCGAGGAAGTAGCCCTCATTGTCAGACTCCGAGGAGGAGGAGCAGGTGGAGCACCAGTCGTACTCGGCCAAGTAGGGCCCCCAGCGCTCCCCGAAGGCGTTCTGCAGGGCCAGGTCCGACACGGTCCGCGGGCACTGGCCATACAGGTCCCGGCGGGAGCCCCGGCCCAGGCTCTCCTGGAAGCTGCGCTGGCGCAGGAACTGGTCGTAGTCCTCGCGGCCGCCCCGGAGCAGCGGGGGCCGCTCCTGCAGGCGGGCCGCCGCCTCCCGCTCGCCCGCCAGGTGCAGCGCGTTGTCGGAGCGCGAGCGGCGCGACCGGCGCGACCGGTGGTGCGGCCGGAAGTGGCGGGGGTCTTCGCGGGACGCGCTGCGCCGCCGCGTGCGCTCGCTCATGGGCTGGATCCTGGCGCCGCCGTCGGGCCCCGGCAGCTGGCTGCCCGCCGCCGCGCCGGGGTCGAAGTCGAAGCTCTGGTGCATCCGGCCGCCGCGCGCCTGCCGCTCCCGGTAGCCCAGGGGGGCGCCGAGCTGGCGCAGGCCGCCCTCCATGTCCTGGTACTGCTGTGCCGACAGCAGGCTGCGCACCGACTCGGCGCTGCGGAACTGCACGGACGAGTTGAGCGTGCCCAGGGTGCTCAGCTTCTCCGACACGTTCATGCCCGAGTCCTTGCTGAGGTCGGGCATGGAGAACCGCGACAGGTGCTCCTGGCGCTTGGCGCCGCCGTCGGCGGAGAGGCCTGCGGGGAGAGCACAGGGGGACGCGGGAGTTAATGCCGAGGGCGGGGATGGGGGCCGCTGCGGCTGTGGGGCCCCTGCGTGCTCGTCACTCAGGGTCGCTGCGTGAGGCTGTGCAGTGGACACGCACAGAGGCCGCTGGGAAAGGGTGCGGGAGGGGAGGGCCCTCCCCACCCACCGCGGGCACTGCCCACCCAGGACCCTGGCTGAGATGCACTCGCAGACTCGTTAATGCCTGCAGAGGCTCAGCCGAGCTTCCGGGAGCCCCCGGGGCTTCTTGTGTGGGATGCCGCTCCGTGTGGATTTCACTCTCCAAAGCGCCTCCAGGGCCTCTGTGAGGCCAGTGGTCACCACAGCCACCCAGGGCAGGCGTGCTGGACCAGGACACCTAGGAGGCGTGCCACGCCCACGCACTTCCTGGTAAAACTGGGCCTGGAGCCTAGTCCCGTGAGGCTGGGCCAGTTCAGTGCCCTGTCAGCTTTCCAGCAGCTTCCTGATCTGCCCGATGTCTTTCAAATGCCTGGAAAACGAAACGCCTCCCTGGTGTGGACAGAGGGACATGCACTGCCCCAGACTGTTCAGTAAATGAGTGCTCCAGGCTCTAAAGGGGTCCCCAGCAGCCCGAGGATGTGAGTGGGACTCGGGGACAGTCCTTCCCCTGGGGTGGCACTTCTTAAACGAAGCAGTGACCCTAAACGCTCTCTTAACAGCAGGGCCCCAGCTGTGGACCTGCCTTCCCTAAGTGCTATGACGGTATTACTGACATAGAAACTGTATTTGAAGGTCATGGGAGATTCCCGACGTCAATCCCTTCCATTCTGCCCATCGTAAAGCAGCAATCTAAAGAGAAACTTAAGAATGGACCAGGTGGAAAGATCCCATAATTTCTTGTTATCTATTTTTTTAAAATACTATATTTTTTATTGACTTCAGAGAGGGAGAAAGAGATAGAAACATAAATGCTGAGAGGGAATCATTGATCAGCTGCCTCCTGCACACCCCCTACTGGGGATCAAGCCCACAACCTGGGAATGTGCCCTGACCAGGAATCAAACCATGACATCCTGGTTCATAGGTCAAGGCCTAACCATTGAGCCACACTGGCTGGGCTCATTATCTATTGAAAGGATCAGCAATTTTGCCTTTTCTGGTCACAGACAGCATGTCTGGATTGCTAAGGCCCATTATGACCCTACCATGATTACTCCTCCCACTTGCTGGGCCCAACAACTTGCTTCTGCTCCACTGGTAAATGGATATTATGAGCACTTAGAAAAACTGCTTATCAATATCTACTAAAGCTAAGTGTGCACACACACATACAGACACACACACACAGCGTGTGATAAGGCTGCTTTGAATGTGTCCCTTTTTTATGGACTTACTAATTTCTGTTGGGTATATGAGATTCTATGACTTTCCATCACCACTTCTGATTATATATCCATTCATTGGTCCAAAAAATGCCCAAGGGTATTCAGAGAAGCTTTCTTTAGAATAACTCAGAATAAGAACTTAAATTTTCATTAACAGGAAAAGGATAAATAAATTGTGGTCCTTTATAGCCTTCCCATGAAAAGAAATGGCCAATTCTAGGACAGGAGAAGGGAAGGTAAGAGATGAGTCTGGAACATCATGCTGTGCCAAAAAGTAAGACAGTGTTAGCAATGAAAAGCGATGGGAGTTTGTCAGAAGAACACTTCAAGGGCTTCCAACTAGCCAAAGCTGAGCAATTTGAGCATTATAATATTTAAAACAGTAATGACTTATAAACCACTGAAAAAAACAGGAATTCATGAGTCCATACTGACAACAGATAAAAGCATCTACACTAATAAAAGAGAAACATGGAAATTGATCATCACTCCACTAGACACACCAGCCAATCAGGATAAAATATGCAAATTAGGACAAAGATGGCGGCTGCCAAGCTGCTCCAGGTATGGAGTGGCTGGGCGGGGCAGGATGCTTGCTATGAGAGGGAGGGCGGGGACGGAGGGGGGGGGCAAGAGGGAGTGAAAAGATCTAAAGGATTGGCATTTGGGAGCAGCGAAGATGAAGACTGCACTCTAGAGTCTGCAGCAAAGACAAAGATGGCAGACTCTGGCCAGAGTGAAGGCCTGGATCCTGGGTGCCAGAGGAGACCCAGTGCTGGAAGCCAAAGGCAGGAAGGCCTATTCTATGAATCTCTTTGTGCCATTGGCCTCTAGTCAATAAATAAAAGGGGGAAGGAGTGGGCTCTTCTATATAGAATGCTCAGAGGGAGTGCAGACAGGAGTGCTGAGTTTGTAACCATCCCCTGTAAAGACTGGTCCATGCAAGAGTCAATGTATGCTAAATTTTGAAGGTAAATCTGAGGGGGGTGGCAGATTATTTCTGTGTTAGTGTTTCTCTCCTCCTCCCCACCCCAAATGCTTATTATCTGTAAGGGGAACTTTAGGAACTTTAGTGGAGATCAAACTTAACATCGCTGACAAGGTGAACTGGACTTCATGCACCTCTGAGTAGGCTGTTCTAAGAGGGACACACTGTGACTTACACAGTCTTCCAGTCAAGAATACATATCCTGGATGAATTCAGAACTATGATTAGACAGATAGCCAAAGGAGGAATGTTCTAATAAGAAAATAGATTGTATTCTTTACAAAATTCAGTATCAGAAAGACTAAGAAAGGTTTTCTAGACCGAAGAATACTTAAGAAAGAAAATATTCTGACCAATACACCGTCCAGTCATCCATCTATTTTTTAAATTTTATTTCATTACTGGGGTAACTGTCAGGAAAAGGGGAGTTGAGTCCGCCAACTCCTGCTTTTCCAGCTGCTTAGCTCTGACGTTCACATCATCATCGCTCCCAGAACCTTCCCCTTCTGAAGGCGGAGAGAAGACAGAGAAACCTGAGATGATAATAAGTTCTGTGAGCGGATCAACTTCAGTAAGGAGGGAAAATCTTCAAAGATCACATGTAGGAGCAAAAGCTATACAGGGAGACGCACCGATCTTTGCCCAGCTGTCTACTCATGCCCTGGAGTGGAATTAGGGTCAGCATTAACAATCTAGCAAACACCATACGTTCCCAGACATGCTGTTCTCCAGAACCCGTCTTTTAAACGCGCTGAAGTCTCAGCACTTGTGAGAACGTCCTGTGTGTGCAGAGATTCAGGTCTCCTTGAGGAGGTAACGGTGAAGATAGGCAGCGACAGTTCCACTGGAGGGTGTTGCCCTCCCGCCTATGGGCCTGTGTCCTGGGACTTCAGGGGCCTTTAGTCCCCCCCCCCCCCCTTCTGGAAGAGCAGGGGCGCCCATGCACCAGGCCAGGGTCCACTCAGTGTTACCTACACCTGGCTCTGCCCCCAGCAGTTGTGTGGTGGGATTGGAAAGACTACCTGGTCTGTCGGTTCTCATTTATTAACTCCAGAATTTTTTTCCAGGCATGAATAAAATGGCCTACAGACGGGCAATAATTGTGTACTTGCTTCTCAACAGGGTGGCTCTGTGGCCAGACCCAGAGGCCTTATGCGGAATGCAAGGCCCTGTCTCCCCACAACCACTGGCTACATGGTGCTCCTCACACCCCCTGTTCGGCCTCACTTACACTCTCCCTCCTCCTCCAGCACCTGCAGGCCCGCTCCAGCCCCTTTGGAGAGCTCTCCCCTTGGCAAAGCTGACATCCTCTAACCAAGAGCCTTGGGTCAAAGTCCCCTCTTCCATGGTGCTGCCCAGCTCGCTCTTTCTAAAGGAGGGAGGCTGTTCCTCACCAACCGGTCTCGCTGCAGTACCTGACCTCTGGGAAGGCCCCATCCTGACTTACTTTCCTCAGTGTGTGTGTGTGTGTGTGTGTGTGTGTGTGTGTGTGTGTGTGTTTGCAGCTGAATGGATGCCGTGGGAAAGGGGTCTTTTTCTCCTGTTCTCTTTACTCTCCTGCCAGCAGCACTGGCTGGCACTCCACTGGTGCTCAGGAAATATTTGTGGAGTTGAGATCAGTGAATCCCCACACTACCCACAGCCAGGAAGAAGCTACCGCCCCCTGACCTGGAGTGGACCAGACCTAAAGAACAGTGGATTGTGGGAGGCCAACCGAGAGGAGCAAAAACACCACCGCCACACCCGTCAATCTCATTGCCGCTGGCGGTTCATCACATGGCCCACCATCGGGGGCTTCTCCAATTCTAAAGGTAAAGAACATGCGATTTAAAATTAGCTTCTCCATCTACAAAAAATGTTTTGTCTCATTAATCAAAACTCGTGAGGTCTGTTTAAATGAGCAGTTGCCACGTTCCCCAAGAAGGAACTGTAGTATCACAGTTCACACCTCACTTTGGTAAACACCCTCTCCTCTCTCACTCTGAGCACAAGTGGAGAGAGAGCCACTTCCTGGATGGGTGTCTCGGGCAGCTTTTGAATCTCCTGAGAAGCATCTGCAAAATGGGCACAACATCGGAGATTGAAAACTGTCATGGTTATTAGATGAGGAAATATCTACCTTTCCTTTTTAAGATCCATCACAGCTGTAATACATTTGTATAGTTTTTATTTCCTTCCCGTCTCCTTGGCTAGTCTGTAAGCCACACAGGGGCAGGGGCTGGCTCCTGCTTGCTAGCTCCGGTCCCGGGACCTGGATTCAATATGCAGGAAGGAAGTGTGCGGGGCCTGAAAGTCCCCAGGAAAAGACAGCATGTCCCAAGAATTTTACACCAGATGCTTGATGCATGCACAATGACAGGAATGAGTGAATCTGAGCAACACGACCCACACAGGACCCCACACATGGCAGAGTTCACCACTGACAAACCATTGTTAAAATAATTTGTGCCTCCAAACTGCAGTCAGGGGTTATTCTTCAACCCAGATGCAACTCAACTCTTTATTCCATTTGTCAAAACGCTGTGAATCCAACCAATTGGGGCTCCCAAATGCCACTCTGAGATCCTGCAATAAATGCACTTTTCCTTCCCCGCTGCCAGAGCCATGATGTGTGTGTGCGAGCATGTATGTGTGCAGG